TGACACAGACCACTGAGCACAGAGCTGACAGTAACCTCACCAAGCACTCACTACATATTCACACTAATAATTCAAGAAAAGCATTATTTTTTTAATGTAATGACACCACTTCATGTTCTGCTTATATTTACTGCTCCTCTATCACATATTCACAAAATCCTTTTCATTTCATCATGATACAAATATGAATTATTTCCTTTCTTGTATTAATATCTTCTTTTGAGTTCATTTAAAAGAAACAATCAAATAATTACATTAATATTTACATGATGAATCCAAAGTTTTTCATTTCAAACAGAGAGGAGTATCATTTTAAAGTTAATAAACTATTTAATTTCTTACTCCTCTTCATAAGATAGAAGACCAAACACTTCATCATGTTATTCATCAGTGAAAGCTTTTATTAGCAACAACATCAATCATTAACATGACAGTTATGAAACACACTCACATCTAGCTGCTGAACATTACTCTCTAAGTTGTTGTTGTCCAACACTTTACAGCAGTGTTGTTCTCTGCAACACAAAGCTTTAAATTACAAACTGATATCGATCAGAGCAGCAGGTGTGCTCCTCCTGCTCCCCCCACACAGAGCTCCCGTCCTGGGCTTCAGCCTGCTCCTCTAGCCCTCACACTGGCTCCTGTGGAGGGACTGGGTCTGGCTGTGGTCATGATGGAGGACCCTGCAGGAGTACAGCTCTCCTTCCATCCAGCGCTCCCGGCTCAGGCTCAGGGTGCTGCTGCTGCTGTAGCGTCCGCTCTTCTCCTCCTCTGAGCTGCTCAGGACCCCCTCTGTCACCTCCGTGTCGTCCACCTGCCAGCTCACCACGGCTCCCTGAGGAGAGTAGCCAGACAGCAGGCAGGTCAGCGTGGCCGAGCCCCCGGAGAGCTGCTCAGAGGAGGGGGGAAGCAGAGAGACCGAGGGCCTGACCATGGGGCCAGCTGGAGAGGAGAGCAGAGACACACAAGGAACAGATTAACATCCAATGTGGGACAGACAGCTGGACATGAGACAGTTATGATACATGACAGAGGTTAACACCACTGTGGGTTAGCTGTGTGCTGTGATCACACAGAGGAGAGGAGACATGGGAAGAAATGAGGGTTCAACAAACTAAACTAAATGGTGAAACTTAATTATATCTTCTACTGTGGCACTGATCATTAATCACTAAAACTTATAGAAACATATACAACATGACTTAGATGTTAATGTAATGGACAAGTTAAATGAATGACCTTTACATTAAATGTTCATATATTTTATATTATGTTTGATAGAAAACATTTCATCCCGTAGATGAATTTCTTGTTGAAAACAATGTAACATCTGTAAACAGTTAAAGACTTTGTCGTCTGTTTCATTTCCTTTCACCGCTTTAAACCAACGAACTGTATCAGACCATCGGCCACATGATTCAAGTGTAAATGTAACTAAAAAGGTAAATCGATAACGATTACTGAAACATCTTCATGTGTGTTTTATAATGTTTGACAGAGAATAACTGACAGTTTAAAAAACTCATGTGAATACAGTTAAAACCATCGTCATCTGTTTCTTTCACTTCCTTTTCACTACATGTAAAATGAATGAACCGTGAACACAAAGATAAGCTGCATTTACTGATAAAATCATGTGTTGAACAGGAATCCACATCACATTTTGAAGATAAAAACAGTTTGCATGATCAAAATGAATGAATTAAACTAAACTATTGATTAAAAATGGAGCATTAAAAGTTTTATTTGCCGAAATGTTACTTTTAAGCATTTTAAAGCAAAGAACAGTTCATGAAAACAGAAAATCTGAGAATAGATTAGTGATTTCCTGTTTTTTTAAAGTGAATAATATGTTGTATTAAATAAATGTTGATTTCTGAAAAGTTTTGTCTCAAATTGTGAGAACATCTTTATGACTAACAATAACATTTAAACACTAATCTTGATCACATTATATTTTAATATTTGATAAAAAAATAAATAAATTACATTTGTTATATGTTGTTATAAAATAGAAATCTCTGGTACTTACAGTCAATGATGAGTTTGGTTCCTCCACCAAAAGTCAACCACAGTGATACAAACTCATTAAGTGGCCGTACAAAAACCTCCTGCTCTGTGAACAAGCATCTATCCACTGAAACACTCTCTGCTTTTCAAAACAATGCATAACAATACATAACAATATATATTTTCTTGAGTCTAAAATGTTTTTCTTATGATATGGATTAAAATGATCATACAAATTAAATCAATTATTACATTTTTCTTGACTTTTCTAAACCTGACAGAGAAACAATTACAGTCTCCGTGTAACAAAGTCATTTTTTCACAGTTTTATATCAGTTTATGGTTAAATGAACTTGATTCTTTTTAATATTGATAATTAACAAACTCATATTAATCAGAACTTAAATGTGTTACTCATCCAGAGTAAACCCTGTCAGTAAATTAAATGCAGACAAACACACACATCATACCAACCACAGTGAAAACAAACGTATCCTTAAATCCTCATCTGCTCTTCTAATATAAACATTTTCTTTTCTTCCATTAAGATCATAGATTGTGTTAAACTGAGCAGTATTCCTCCTGGTTTTGTGTCCCACGTTGCCTTCAGTCTGTTGAGAGCAGAGAAATCATTTCCATAGAGAGGAGGCTTTGCATCGTCAGCTGATCCTCCAGTGAACTCAGAAGCTTTATAGTCCTGTGAGTTCAACACTGCAGGACTCAGATCTGTCAGTCAGCACAGCAGGAACCACAACCACCATGACTCTGATCACCATCCTCATCTGGACGCTGGCCTGCTGCTGTTTCACAGGTTCATTCAATCAGCAACTCTTCAAACATGACGTGCTGCCTTTTCTCTCATTTATTTCTGCTGATTAATGAATGATTTGTTTTTGTCTGCAGGATGCAGCGGTCAGGTGACTGTGACTCAGCCTCCAGTAGTGACATCTACTCCAGGATCCACTGTCACTCTCACCTGTAAGACTAGTAAACCTGTTTACAGAGATAGTGATGGAGATGACGCTATGTTCTGGTACCAACAGAAATCTGGACAGCCTCCAAAGCTCCTCATAAAATATGCCAGCACAAGTGAATCAGGAACACCAGCTCGGTTTAGTGGCAGTGGAAGAAGCTCTGACTTCACTTTGACCATCAGTGGAGTTCAGACTGAAGATGCAGCAGTTTATTACTGTCAGAGTTACCATTATATAAACAGTGCTAGCGTGTTCACACAGTGATTTATAGTCGTACAAAAACCTCCCTCAGTCAGACTGCAGAGACTCTGAGCTGTAACAGCAGGAACCGACTGCAGCTGCTGAAGAGGAAGAGACTCTGACACA